AGGGTGGTCGTGCGTGACAAGCGTGACAGGCAGCGTGACGGGTCTCCGTGCTAATAAAATGACGGCATATAGTAGGGGCTGTCTGTGCCTGAGGGCAAGCGTCGTTACTCCGGGAGGTGGTGGCGGTGGGTCCAAAGAGGACCGCGGTGTGGAGGCGGCCCTCAGTGGGTGGGCGATGGCGCCCTGGGGTTTGCATCGCGGTGCCGACAGTACCCTCTGCCGCTTCCGTGGGACGGTGGATTTCAGAGGCGGCGTTTCCCCGGGCGAGGACATTACTCGGTAGCACCCAATAATAGCATCTACAATAGCAGCAATATAGCGTGTATATTATTGGGTAGCACCCATAAATAGCATATAAATAGCAATAGTAACTGGGCATCAACTGAGGTTTGACAAGGCCTCTCCCTTTAGAGGAGGTTGTTTGGCAAGGATGTACCCACAGCATCCTCATGCCACCATCGTTTCTCCATATTTTGATTGGCGTGGATTTGAGTAGTCCCAGTGTTTTCTAGCAATAATCTAGCAATAATGGGGTGCAAAGCTTGAGATCATTCTGAGGTACCTGTTGGCTGAAGCTGACGAGAAAAGTTTAATTCCTGCTTGTTTTTCTGTTCAGGCAGGCCTGGGCAGCTTCTCCTGAAAACTGGATTCTCTTGTTTGAAGAAATGAGTAACTGCTCATTTCCTGAAGAAACTATAAAGCTGTATTTCCATGCACTGTGACCTGTTTTTTCCCTTGCTTTCATTGTAAATCCCAGTTTTAATGGATGTTTCTTACTTTTTTTCCTTCCCTTTGGAGGACAAGAAATTAGTCTAGATGCAGTAAATTGGAAGAAATGGAAGAAAGGAAAATCAAGAGGAGGAGCCCCAAATCATCTACCAGTCACCCTGCTCAGGTTACTAACTCCAAGAAAAACTCAGTGCCAGTCAGTAAAAGTACAGCCTTTTCAAATCCTGCACCGCAGCCTGCAGTACAAAAACCAAAGTTAAAACGGTAAGCTTGGGAGCATCTTGCAAGCTCAGTGGAAGTGAGAGCCAGAAACCTGCCAATGCTCAGACAGTCTAAAGGGTGTTTAGACTGGCTGGGACAGAATGAAAAGAGCATCAGACTTGTGAAAATTTTTGATGACGTGTCTGTTTTAGCAAAGCGATTTCTGTTTAATGCAATATAACGGTTATTTTACAGAAAAAGAAGGTGCTCGATACTACTCTTGTAAGCTTTGTAAAATGTTATACAATGCTGTAGACTCACATTGATAACAATTTAGCTGAAGGGGTGATAGCCCGATGTGGCTGGTGAAAGGCAAGAGTTGGGTGATCAAATTTAGCAAACGTGGGCATCGTATGGGAGATGGCAGACTCCCAGATGTACAGCTGTGAGGAACAAATGAAATATTACATGACTGCAAGGCTCGAACTCACAAGAAGGGCAGGAAATGAAGGACGTAAATTGAACAGGATGAGCTAGAACTGGAATTTCCGTGTGTTTTTTGTTTGGGGAGCCATCAGTGGGGGCAGTGGTAGCTCCCAGGCCATACTCACGCGCAGAGGGGGCAGTGGTAGCTCCCAGGCCATACTCAGGCGCAGAGACATTCAGCTCTTCAGAAAGTACCATTTTGGGACAGTTTGTGTGTTATTGATGATGCATCTGTTTCAGTTTTAGAATGTTAATTTTCCTGCATGTTAGAAAATATATTTCTTGGCCATGGCAGATACAATAGATAAATGAGTGAAGAGGGATTTTAAAGTGAAATGTTAGCTAGGGAGAGGCAGTGGACTTTATTGATCTGTAAGTATTAGCTGAAGATTAAATAGTGAAGTGTCCTCTTTGGCACAGATAGTCTGTTTAAGGGACCCAGTATTGGCCTGATGGCCAATATGGAAACACAGTGGATTTCTGCAATGTGAAGTTTATACTTCTTTTCTTTTTTTTCAGGGAAAATGTGTTAATATTTTGAGGGAAATAATAATAAATACTAATGTGCTATAAATTGGTGGTGCCTGCAGCTGACTGTAGTTTATTAAGACTCAACACTATTCTGGAATGTACTAGAAATTCATTTCTTGTAGCCCACAATATTGGCTAGAGAAGAAGATGTCCTTTTTGCTTTAAGGACATTCTTGCTCAATTGTCAAGTGAAGCTTACCAAGCAGTGATAATACAGGCAATTTCTCGAACTCTCCAAGCAGGAGTGGTAATTGACATAACAATGCAGGGATGAACTGCTGTTACGATAGCGGAGTAGGAGTATTTAATTCATTTTCACTTGATCCACAAGAATCTAATGAAATAAGTTTTCCAGGAGCGGTAATATATTGTATTAAACTTCAGATACAGGTGGAAAAAATCGATGACCTTTCTGGCACAAACCTTCCTTTTAAGTCTGAAATTGGTGCAGAAATAGCCAAAGTTAAACCTAAATTGAGACGTGTTGCTCTGAGTTGAATCAGATATGATAATTGTTGGACTGTTAGTTGTTCCAGCATATAGACTATGTAGTCTATACGATGTTTAGAGACTACAGAAGCTGTTAGGCTGGAAAAAGAATGATTATTTCCCATAGGAAAGAGAGAATTTATGACTTGCAGAGCATGGGAGTATTCGAGGGAAGGGTGGAGCTTACTATGCTGTAAACCCTATTATCTTCACTAATTAAATAAAGCCTCTTTACTAAGCCTGTGATTTTAATATCCCATAGTATTCTGAATTGTAATTTTTAGGCTCAAAATTTTTCACTGAATCAGATTCTGCACAGACTCACCACGAGGCTGCAGAAGCAGCCATGCCAATGTGAGAGGAAGGCTGTGTGCACACATGGATGGGCAAATCAGGGATGAAAACAGCCCCTTACGCGAATTGTATTACGTTAGGATGCAGTCTGTCTGTCTGTCTCTGGGTCAGAGATGGAATAGGCTACTTCTTACTGGTAATTGAGTGTTTAGCTTCCATATCGATTGCGTGCTCGTTTGGATCTGTAATGGTTATTCATTTTCATTCGTGTAGTTTCTGTGGGCACATGGTGCTCTGAATAAATTTCATGTCCAGAGAAAAAAGGTATGGATCCAGAAGTTTTGATGGTTTTGTTGCAGAGGGGGCTGTAGAGAATTTTTAGCACGTTTAACGTTTGTTCAGGCATGGACTAGTTCCACTTGGTATGTGTTAGAGGACTGGGAGATTGCTTTTGATGGCGAGTTTTACAAAATTGGGATGTTATTTGAAGGTGGGAAGAAGGAGCTCTAGGACGATTTATCTGGAGGCAAGGTCACCTTCCTGCATAGGGTATAACGAGTTGTTTTCCACACTGGTTGCAGTCTATAGGTGTTTGTGACAACAGGAGCATATGATTGCTGGGGGTTTTTCTCTCTGGCTTAAAGAGAGTTTGCAGATGCTTTTTGGGCGATTTTATGTAGATAATGCCCCACGTGTCATTGTTGGGTAATGGTCGTCTTTAGATTATTAAGATGGCCGTTACATACATGTGCTCCATTGGTGTTTCCCACTACTAACAGGAAAGCAGATTGTTGGAATCAAGATAGTGATGTTGTTCTTTATTCTTAAGACAAACTGGTGATCCATTTTTTAACTTAAAAGGAGTGATTGAAATATGTATTACATATTTTCCATTTCATTTTCAAAGCCCAGATGTACACTTATCTTACATGTCAGATTCTCAGTAGAAGTGGAAGTAATCTTTTTGTTTTGTTTAATTATTTATTTTTTTCAGTGTAATAAAAGAGAAAGCCAAACCTCCAGGAGGCGAAGCAAAAGGGGCACAGGCAGCACCAATCCAGCATTCTTTTCTCACAGATGTATCAGATGTCCAGGAAATGGAAAGGGGACTTCTGAGTCTCCTGAATGACTTCCACTCTGGCAAACTTCAAGCATTTGGTAAGTGTGTGAATTGGCTGTATGTACAATAGTTGTTTTTATAGCTATACGACAGCAACATTTGCAAACAAGCGTGCTGTATGGACAGGCTGCCCGTTTGTCCTGTTGGCCTCTGCCATATGAAATGAAGTTTAACATAATTAATAGATCTTACTGCATTTTTAAATTACAGTCCTATTGTAAGGCTGTCTTCGGTGTGAGATTATTCAAATGCCATTTCATTGTTCCTTCCAGCATGGCTTACCAAAGGCAGTACCTTGGCTTAATGGGTTTAAGATACCAAGTTTGAAGCCGCTTATTTATGATAGTATAGGAATAATAAGAAGTAACTGTATTTAGCACCTGATTTTGCTGCATGTTAATGCTTTAGACTATTGGTAACAACTTTTATGGAATCCAATGCAAGTTGCATTTTACCCAGCTTACTCTTCTGTCTTAGCATCTTACTATTCTTACTACTTCACAGTTGATGGAGGTTTCAGAGAAACCATGACGCTCTTCCTTTTTTTTCCCCAGTACTGAGTAGAAAGATGCAGATGTGCTTTTGCAGGTTTAGTGTTACGTCAGTATGCCGCATTCAATCCACGCTGATTTTACAAGAGAACCTGAAAAGTCTGTATTACATAAAGCATCAGTTCCAAGAAAGAAACTCCCAAGATTAATCAAAATTAGAAAGAAGGTTTATTGTGATCATATTTAAAATTAAAAAACAGGGCCTTCCTAAATCGGAGGGAAATTCAGGAGTATAGAAAAAACACGTATATTCTAAAAACCAGTTAGTACATTTGGTAGTTATCGTAAGTTCCGCACAACCTAACACCAGACAGGATGACAGAAACCTCAGTAGTGAGACAGGGAGAAATCACTGAGGAAGCAAATTAACTTGTAAATTTGATGTTTAAATTCCTCTTCTCCGATGTAAAAAGCCGCATCTTCGCACCTTCATTTTCTCTCTTAGGTTTCTTTATCTAAAGCTGTTGCTCGTCCTTTCAGGAAACGAATGTTCCATAGAGCAGATGGAGCATGTGCGGAGCATGCAGGAGAAACTTGCTCGCCTCAATCTGGAGCTCTACGGGGAGCTGGAAGAACTCCCTGAAGATAAAAGAAAACTAGCCAGTGACTCCAATCTGGATAGGCTGCTATCAGATGTAAGTACTGGGGAGGCAGAACACGTGGAACTTTGCCCACAGAACTCTGCTCAGGAAAACAACGCTACTGGGTGGGCAGTGATTTACAGTTGAGGAGAACGTAGTTCTGTAATGAACCAAGACGTAAGCGCTACCCTCATCTTGGTTTTGAGAAAACACAGTACCTTGTTTTCTTTTTTTATAGGCTGCTGCTTGTTTTGGTGAGTGAAGCAGTCTAGCTGTGAACTGTCTGAGGGTGTAGGCCTGTTTAGAGACAGCCAGTGCACCAGGGAACTACGACCATTTTCCCTGTGGTCCGTCCTCCTACATCTGAGGAAGACCAGATGTAACAAGGAATTTAGATCTGTATATTCTACACTTTGAGTTTCTCCTTTCTCTAGTGCATTTCCCTAAAACCCCACACTATTAAAATGTCTTTAAATTTCCTGAGATCGGCAGATTTAAACAATTTGGGACTTAGCTCTGTTGGTGTAGAATTCAGTGCAGGTTTGCTTTGCTTTTTGTAATAAAATCATACATCTAAGCCCAAACTATTAGTGATTTCCTTCACTGTTTTAATGTATTTATTTCATGATATCAGCATAACTGTTGCATTTATTTGACTAACGGAAATGCTATTTCTGATACTTTCTACATTTATATTGCAGCTAGAAGAACTGAATTCATCTATGTATCCTTTTCCTCAAATGTCTATTTTGCATTATAATTGTTGTTAACCAAAATCAAATTACAGTATATTTCCCCAGTAACTGGTGTCTTTACAGGAGGAAAATCGCTTCAATAACGTCCTTTCTTTTAAATTAGTACTGTAATACAGCATGGATTTTAGGGTCTCCCAATACATAAATGACTGGATCTTAACGCTTTTAATTACATGCTGTTTTGTCATACGAGGATTTATTTAGCTAGCATGCACCACTTTAGACAATGTGTTGACAGTAGATGGCACAGCCCGTCAGAAGCAGGGCCTTTCTACATCCTTCTTGCTGAGACATTCTGGAGCAAACATACATAATAGTATTCCTTCTATAGTATTCTGAAGTGTTCTGTCCCATTGATAAGCGAATCCTATTACCTTTTTGTTTTCTCTAGAAATATACGCAGCTGTTTCTCACCTATTTTACTGTGAATAGTGGACTGACCTAATTTTTTATTTCTAGGGTCAGACAACAGTCGAGTCAAATACTTCAGCAGAGCTTTGGTAATTGAGCAAACGTGCTCTTAGCCCACCCAGAAGAAGGTAAAGCTGAATGTCTTAGCTTGTCTTTTACATCATGCTTTTGATAAGCTAAGAACACAGTTGAGGAGCATTGCATTCAGTTTATACTGCAGTCTGGTTATTTCTGATGTCACATACTTTGTATGCGTTGAGGAAGGTGAGACTCTGGTGTGGGACTTAAGATACTGCACTGGTATATAGACATTCTCTGTGTCTGTGGAAAGCTGTTTAGGGCTAGGTCTCATAAAGAACACAAGTGGAATGTGATAATATCATCACATAATAGCGATAAAAATAATCTGCCATCCCCCTTGATCCGCCAGCTAATTCTGGAGGTGTGTAATGCTTAAGTCTCACCGAGGAAGATTAATCTACTGGTTGAGAACGAGCGTAGGACTTGATGGAACTGGATTCATCTGGAATGGTGCATATCCATCGCAGGACTAAGCATAGTTTCCTGTAACACTGTTATCTTGTTTGTACCTTATCTATATGTGAAAATGCTATTCCTTAACGGTTTGCTTCAGCCAAAAACTACATTTAGCAGATGCTCAAGATATTCCAAATAGTGCCACAGGCTGAAAGAACAGCTTTGTCAATTTGGATTCTTCCAGAAGCTCTTCTTTTGTTTTTTTCCTGACAGCGTAATCTGGAACAGCTGTTGGTTTTGGTTGTTTGGTGGTTTTTTTCTTTAATTTTGCACAGTGAAGACTCAGAGTGCAAATCCAGGCGTTTATTTTTTGCACATTCCTCTTCGAGCACTGCATTATGTCAGGACTCAGTATCTAGAGTTTTATGTAGGTTGTTGTGATACTATGCTTTTTATTATTGCCCTATTTAATAGAAAAATTGGGGAAACTTGGGAGTATGTTTCTTCTGCTCAGTGTTGTTCATATGGTTGAAAATTATATGTAAGTTCATTAGCATTTTTCCAATTTTTATGAAGGTAGTGATGATGATGCCTTTCTGATCAGCATGTAGACAATCTGCACACTATCTTTAGTGTTTTGTTGATCAGTGATGTCACAGATTAATTTATTGTTAATAAAACATTTTAAATATGACGTTTCATGTAGAGAAGTTGCTATCTGTTCAGCTGTGTTAAGAAAAGAATGAGTTCTTGCATGGTCAGAATATTTGCAGAGTTTACTTTTTCATTATTGTGCATAATTATAAAATGTCACTAAGTAAGAACTAGCATGCATGCTAGCAGTCCACATAATTTGATTAGGTATTGTGAAATTCCAAAGCTGGGTAAACAGTTACTATTCAATAAATCCAGTATATGCAATTTTGTAGTCATTCCTATATTATAAATAGTCTGGTATTAATTGGTATCATCTTTGTGTTCACAGTCAGAGAAAAGACTCTGTATTAGTATAAAATCAGGCTGGTTTTAGATCCAAAATTTCTATCGTGGTCCATCAAACTATGCCTCTGGTTCTAGATCTATTTCATATTCCGTCTTTAGGAAATACAGGCAGATTCTATATTGTATATACTTAGTGCACAAGGAATGGAATCTTTATCCTTCTACTTGAGAGCAAAGTTTTCATCAGCCCAAAGTGGGCAGGGAACAAAAGACGCCTCCTGTTTGGCATCTTTGGAGGAGGTGCTTCTTCAGCCGCAAGCTGTAGTGGTGGATTCCGTTAGCTCCAGCTCCTTTCGGAATCACACGTAGCGCCATGTCTGCACTGTGCAGCTGGGGACAGAAAGATCATTTAAACACCACAGTGTGTCCTGGCTACCAATTCAGCCTCAAACACCATCATTCTCTGCCTCATCTGTCAGGCAAATCTCAATGATTAACGAGGCAGTAGGGAGCCCAGTCAGGCTTTTCCTTTAGGATGTTCTTGTTCTTTACACGATTTTGTCTCCTCCGTTGTTGAGATTCTCTAGGAGTTTGCATGCTGGTAAAATTATCTCCAAGTCCCAGCCTGCTGCTGGGAATGTACCTGTGGTGTTTTGAAATCCAAAGTCTGCTTAGGAGAGAACCAGAATACAAGATGCCCCTCACAAGATGAAGCCAAGTTGTTTTTTTCCTCCTCGCTCTAACCAATACTTGCACAATTATCCTTTTCTGCACAGTAACTTCTCCCTGTCAGCACTACGGCCTTGTTTCTGTGCGGACTTCTGCACATCAAGCAGAAGAGCAGCACGATTTAGCCTCATGCCTCAAGGTGTGTAAAGGTGCGATGCTAGTTACGGTGGCACGAGTCACTACTAGAGCTGCATTTATACAAGTAAAATGACATTCTGGGAGCTCACTTTGATTCAGGAGGAGAGCTGTACCCTCACTAGCCACTTGTTGCCAGTGCAGTATATTGCAGCACTGTAATGCATACTGGTCCCAAAACACACTTCTAACCAGTAGTTTTCATAATTTAAGCTACTCTACAATAAAGAGAATTCTTTTTCCTTTTGGGGCTCTGTCATCTAACTCTGCTTAGGCTTATGACTTCAAACACATCTCAAATGACACCTTACCAGATGTCTCGATCTCTAAATTTCTGTAGCAATTTATGCAAGTACGTAACATACAGGTATAATTCGAGATACAGACATAAGCAAATACCTTTCTTGAGCAGCTGTTTAGAATTATACAAGGATTAGCATCTTTTTCTTCAACCACCTTAAGCCCACAGGCAATCGCAAGTCATGAAGAATGCATTAATTGCAAATAATTAAGGAATTAAAATTATCTTACCTCCACCTGGATACACATTTGCGTCTTTTACACAATCCATTACTGGTGTATGCTCATGACCTTTTGGATTCATACAAGAAAATTTTGTAGCAAGATCTTTGAGAGACTGAGCCTCTCTGTAGGTGGTAATAAACTAATCACATTTCTAGTGAAAAGAAAAAAATCCACTGTAACATATTTGTAGACAGTCTTTTGTAATTATAAAAGTACATAAGTGGCTGCATACAATGAGCTCCTTTTCTGTTACCTTGTTTTCTGAAGAGCTGTTTATGAGATAAAAGTGTGTTAACATTTAATGTTTCCTGGCCTAAACTCACACTGATAAACGGATACGGTGTTTGAAAGAAGACGTTCTTTCCTGCATTGCTGATCTAGATTACATCACTCCAAGAGACATCTGTGAAACCTCAATGAACCAAAAAAGAAAGTAAAAATCAGGAAGAAAAGCTAATAGGAGAGGAAGGTGTCTTAGAGAAGAGGATTTGGAAGAGATGGGGAAGAGATGTGGCCAGCAGGTCGAGGGAGGTGATTCTGCCCCTCTCCTCTGCTCTGGTGAGACCCCACCTGGAGTACTGCGTCCAGCTCTGGAGCCCTCAGCATAAGAAAGACACGGACCTGTTGGAGCAGGTCCAGGAAAGGGCCACGAAAATGGTCAGGGGGATGGAACACCTCTCCTATGAGGAAAGGCTGAGAGAGTTGGGATTGTTCAGCCTGGAGAGGAGAAGGCTTTGGGGAGACCTTACTGCAGCCTCTCAGTACTTAAAGGGGGCTTATAAAAAAAGATGGTGGCAAACTTTTTAGCAGGGCCTGTTGCGACAGGACAA